AGTTTTAACCAGCTCAGGTAAGCCCTGAACCGCCACCAGGGGGCGGCGTTTAGAAAAGGCATTGATAATGATAATTCTGTTTTAGTGCTAAACATCATTTGGGCTGCAAGCTTCTTCAAACGGGAGTTTTAGCATTAGCATTAGTAAAGCTTTGTATATATTAGAACAAAATAACTGGAATAAACTGGAATATAACCAGCTCAGACCAGTTTTAACCAGCTCAGGTAAGCCCTGAACTGCCACCAGGGGGCGGCGTTTAGAAAAGGCATTCATGATAGTAATTCTGTTTTAGTGCTAAACATAATTTGGCCTGCAGAGCTTCTACAAACTGGAGTTTTAGCATTAGTTCAGCTTTGTATATATTAGAACAAAATAATTGGAATAAACTGGAAAATAACCAGCTCAGACCAGTTTTAACCAGCTCAGACCAGCTATAACCAGCTCAGACCAGCTATTACCAGTTAAGACCAGCTATAACCAGCTCAGACCAGTTATTACCAGTTAAGACCAGCTATAACCAGCCCAGACCAGCTATTACCAGTTAAGACCAGTTTTAACCAGCTCAGACCAGCTATTACCAGTTAAGACCAGTTATAACCAGTCTTAACCAGTTTTAACCAGCTCAGACCAGTTATAACCATCTCAGACCAGTTTTAACCAGCTCAGACCAGCGATAACCAGCTCAGACCAGCGATAACCAGTTCAGACCAGTTGTAACCAGTTTTAACCAGCTATTACCAGTTCAGACCAGTTATAACCAGTTTTAACCAGCTATTACCTGTTCAGACCGGTTATAACCAGTTTTAACCAGTTCAGACCAGTTATAACCAGTTTTAACCAGCTATTACCTGTTCAGAGCAGTTAAAACCAGTTTTAACCAGTTCAGACCAGCTATTACCAGTTCAGATCAGTTATAACCAGTTTTAACCAGCTATTACCTGTTCAGAGCAGTTAAAACCAGCTATAACCAGTTCAGACCAGTTTTAACCAGCCCAGAACAGCTATTTAGTTTCATTCTTCTGTCTTTCTAAACTAAGTCAGAATCTAGTTTTTTACTCTGTAGCGATTTGAGCCTTTGAGGTGTGAGAATTTGAAGGACATTTTTTGTTCTTGTCGACTCTGATGTGAGATTTTAGAGCACATGCAGAGAGAAAAGTGTATCCCAGTTCAAAGATCTGCATTAATATCAGTTTGTGACCTCTAAAATGACAAATGCTGTTGGTTAAATGATCAGTGGATGTTTTTTCTGTAAGAAAAAAACTAAAATGTTACAGCTGAGACCCTGTTAGGGCGGGTAAACAGACCAAATCAGGCCAAAACTGCTGGTTAACTGCTGTTTATTAGATGACGAAATCAGGCCAGATTACACACACACAGCCTGTTATTGCACAATCCTGATGGAAATCAGGGTTTCTTGAATGTTTGAGGTTTGAATTCTCAGAACCGGTTTGGTTTGAGAGCGATAACTGGAACAGGATGCCCCTATTATGCGGGTAGGAAGTATGGAACCTGTTGGATGAAGTCCGAGAAATTACTCAGAGTTCTTCTATGTGGGACCGGAAGCCAAAAAGGAACATCTGGAGGAGCTAAAACTTCAATTTCTCTGAAAATATAAGCATAAACTCAGTCATTCAGCTCTTTCAGTCTGACTCTGTCCCTGGTTTCAGTAACAGAGTAAATTCAGTGTAAAGGTGGAACTTTCTAGCATTCTGTACAACAGGGGTGCTCACACTTTTTCAGCATGGGAGCTACTTTTGAAATGACCAAGTCAAAATGATCTACCCATTATATTTATTGAGAAATATATTGAGGATTCTTACAATGTTATGTTGACGTATAACCACATATGTTGCACAACACAACATAACAACATAATTTTTATACATTATTGATACATATTTATGCTATAGTGATTGTGAAGGCTTCCAGACAGATTTATTTCCCCCTGGCAACAAATAATATCTGAAATCTGATTGGTCGGACAGTTTAATTGATACATATTTATGATAGAGTGATTGTGAAGGCTTCCAATTGTACGGAAAAAAATCTGATGTCATCTGACTGGTTGTCCTGTGTATCCTAATCCTAACCCGTACCTCTACCCCCCACAGCTCCTATCCTAGCCCTAACCCGTACCTCTACCCCCCACAGCTCCTATCCTAGCCCTAACCCGTACCTCTACCCCCCACAGCTCCTATCCTAGCCCTAACCCGTACCTCTACCCCCCACAGCTCCTATCCTA